TCATCTCTAACATATTTACTACCTATAATTATGCTTTTAGTGAGCCGTTATTTTCTGCTGAGTCAGATGCCATGCTGGCAAAGACTAATTGATTTTGTTTACCCTAAACGATTAAAAATAGTCACTTTTAACATGTACTATGTTAAACATGCGCCTTTATACCCCAACTCAGATTAAAAAAAACTTCAAAGCTTATCAAACAAAAATTTATATTCAAAACATTTAATTAATATTTTAAAATTTAAATACTAAATTTAATATTTATATTGATTTTTGAATAATTTTTTAGTAATTAAATATAATTATATTTTTGAGAAATTCTTTACAAATTTGGTGTATACTAAAATTTTAAAATGTTATAGTATTTTTCGAATAGTGTTTATAGATTTTTTTTTTCATGTGTCTTTAACAGTATTAGATTTTTTTCATTTTTTGTTTGTCACGACCCACTTCAAACATTAATTACAGGAATACAACAGAATCTATAAACCAATAGGGAACCGAAATGCTAATAGTAGAGAACACTGAATTTTGTAGGCGAGCGTTTCTAGCAAGTAGATCTACCTTTTTGTTCATTTTCCTGGGATAGTACGTGAGAGTAAAATCCTGGAAAGATATCCGTAACGCCTTCAACTCATCCAATTTTGTTTTTTGATTCCACATTTTATTTTTAAATATTTAGTTCAATTTACCAATTTTTACTAATATAATATTTTGAGTTACAGTAGTTTTGTAATCTAAAGACTATGTTGGTAGTTTTGGATATAAAACATAGAAATTTGCATTTTAAAGAGTTTTTTAAGAATATAAACAATTCTTAAAATCTACATAAATATTAAATTGAACAATTAAATTTAAAAACATATGTTAAAAGTTTTTGAATTTTGTTTTATGAGCTCCATAGTTTTTTTTTTGTTAAGAACTCAACTAGAGTATAAAAGATTAGAATCATCGAACATCATGATTTAAACAATACTCAAGCATAAATCGTTCGAATATCAGTTTTTAAATAATCAGTAAAGAAAAATGAACCGACGCCGATAGATATAAGTTACCGATTTTCTTCGCCGGCGTCACCTCCTCTTATCTTTGCTCATGTTTTTCATCGTTCTTCGCCGGTTTTCTGAACTTTTGCATTTTCCTCTAGTTTAAAATTTTGGTGTTTTTCTTTAGAAATTCAGTCAACGTTGCTGCGTTTCAAGCCTTATCTTCTAGATCTGATTTCGTCGCTTTTTGGGGAGGCTTACATCGTCTCTGTCCGTCGACTAGGGTCCACCGGTGACCGGATTTGAACCTTTATCGGGCAAACCCCATAAGAACCTTCTCAATCACCACTACATGCCGCTGTCGTGAGTCGCTAATGGTCATTCCAATTGTCCGGGGCAATAAATCCTTCATCGTTGTAGCCATATTTCATCTATGTCCGTCGACTAGGGTCTACAGGTGACCGGATTTGCGCGGACAAACCCGGAAGAACCTTCTCGATCACCACAACATGCCGATGTCGTGACTTGCTAATGCTTGTTCCAATTGTCGGCGGCAACAAATCCTCCATCGTTGTAGCCACATTTCATCTCTTCTAATTTACCCATCAAGTGCTATTTCCAATTCCAATTCTCCGGATTTGCTCAATGTCTTCATCGATATGTCTGGTAGCAAAGATTGATCTAATCTCTTTTCCATATAAAAGAGTCACATATATTGATTTTTAAGGTTAGATCTGCCTCCCTTTTTACAATAGATTAAGCACAAAGATTAAGCCCTTTCGACTTATTCTTTGTGCAAGAGTTTATATCAACTTTCTCCCGGCGAAGCCGGATGAGATCGCTCTCACCATTCTCCTCCGACATGGAGAGACATCTACTACCACAGTCCATCTCTACGAAATCTTTAACGATCTTAACTAAATGGTTTGACTTCTATGTCAAGTTCGAGTCGCTCACACTACAAGAAAACAGTTAATTAGTGACTGCTTTTTGTGACTGAATTTTGCGTCACAAAATTTGCAACTCCATTTATGACTCATTTGCCACCCTTTTTCGACTGCGTAAATTAGCGTCGCAAATCTGTCACTAATTTACGACTACAAACTAATGTGGCAAATTCGTCACAAATTAGTGACTGATTAGCGACTCTTATTTGAGTTGTCGCAAATTGGTCAAATTTTGCGACTACTTTGTGACACCTTTTTTCAGTATTAGTCAGCGTCGCAAAGTAGTCACAAAGTTGTGACGCTATTATTACGCTGTCCTTGCG